TGTGATCATATGTTGTGATATGTTTCTCCCCTAACACCTAACCAATCCCATTTATCGTGGGGAATTAATACACACACATATAATATACTCCCTCCGTTATGACACAAATTTTAATAAAAGTGAGTAATAATTGTTATTTTTTTTTATTGTAAAAAAAAGTACAAAAATGTAATAATTTTTTACTTAAAAAGGAAACGAGAATATTTTTCGATGACAACTCAAAAAGGAAAGTGAACATAGATTTGAATGATGATAGAGAGAATATATTATAAGAATTTAAACATTTTTATTTATTTCTTATTTAGCCTTTTCAATGATATCTATTTTTAAGTCAAATATTTATATAGTCGACTAAAAATTTTGGAAAAAAATTAATATAGTGGGTGGATTATTATTATTATTATTATTAACATAAAGATAGATAAATAGATTCAATTTTACATTAATTATATTGGAAACATGATAGGTATCATTTTTATTTTTATTTTTATTTTTAAATATATAGGGTGTGTTCAGTGTGTTTGGTTATGATTTTAATTTAAAATTATTATTATTCACTTCACATCATTTTTAATAAAAAATTATTATTTTTTCATAATATATTATATTAAAATATTATTTAATAAAAGTTCAAATCATAATATTCTCATTTCAAATCATTTTCAAACAAATATGTTCTAATATTTTTAAGACAATATAGTCATTGAATGTTATATTTTGTATTAAAAATAAGTGTTGACATTGTATTTTATTTTTGAAAAAAATTGAAATAAATAGTAAAAAGATGGGTAAAAGAAATTATATTTATTTATTCTTTTTCCTTTATATGTTGCTAGTATATGTATACCCATCTTGAAATTTTTAGTAATTAATAAATAATATCGTAGCAATTTGAAAGGAAAAATTAAAGACTCCATTTATTTAATTTTTATTTTAAAGTTTTATTATATAACCATTACAACTATTTATAAAAGTTATATTATCTTTTACAAAAAAATAAAACCCATCACATTAAGTCAGGGTGTTTTGTTTGTTTGGGAATTTGAATTTTGAGTTGAGATTTGAATAGTAAAAATTTTGAATTGAAATAGTGGTACGATGTGATATAAATAGGCGTTGATATGATGTTTTGAACATGAAATTGATTTTTAATATAATATAAAAAATAGAAAAATAAGTATTTGATTTAATATTTTTGGAGAAAAAAAATTGATGAATAGTATTTTGGGATAGAATCAAAGTAAGCAAACCCTAATTTATTTGAAATTTTATAAGAATTGTTAGAGTACTTATTATAGTTAATCGACATATTGTTAACTTCAAAAACTACACTTATTAAAAATATTATATTTTAAATATAATAATAAACATATAATATTTTTAACATGTGTATTTTTTAAATATTAACAACATTATACTCCTTTCGTTCAAATTCAATAGTCTTATTTTACTATTTTATTTCAAAATAATATTTTTATTTTTATAAATAATTATATCATCGTAAAAAAAATTACTTTTATTTTTTTATTATTATCATACCAATGTCATTACTTAACACTAATATATTCAAAGGGCAAAAAAAAAAAAAAAAAGAAAAAGATATTAATAATCCTTAAAATCACGGGCACACCATAAATCCGCTTATTGTTTTTGGACGGAGGAAGTTTAATAAAGATTCAAAATTCTTTAGACCTATACTATTGACTATGGAATTAATTCAAAAACTTTGTAATTTTTAAATACTCTCTTCGTCCCAAAAGAGTTGTTTTGTTTTTTCATTTTCGTTCGTTCCAAAATAATTATCTCGTTTCCTTATTTAGTAACCGTGGACCCTATTTTATAACAAAATTATTCATACTTTTCCAAATTATCCATAATTATTACTCTAACTTACTTTTTAAAATTCTTCAAAAAGTAAAGACATTTTAGTTTTTTACATTCTACTTTATACCCACTTTCAAGACGTCTCTTCTGGGATGGAAGGAGTATTAAATATAATTAAATTGAAAATTTTCAAATGCTGAACACTAGGCACCGATTGAATTTGAAAAATTTGAAATTATTTAATTTAATATTATTTAAAATATATTATAATAGTATGAGATGTGAAACATGGTTAGTCAAACTTCAATAAATTACATTATTTATCCCTAAAATGGTTAAAGTTTAATTACATGAATCAGAGCCTAATTATGATGGGTAAGGCTAATGATCACAAATGCTATAACACATGGACAAGAAAATAAATAAATATATAACATTTATTTATTTAATTGAAAAGTATATTTATTTATTTATCTATTTAAAGCACAGAGAATATTCAAACAATATTTAATTAATTGATTAATTAATTAAATTGGTCCATTAGTTTGAGAAGAAGATTGATAATGGATCTGCTTTTCTGGACCACTTCCATTAATTGGCTAATCCCCTTAATCATGCCTTTTTATTATTCCCATTTATTTATTTATTGTCCCTATATAATTATTAAATTAGATTGACCACATTAACAATTAATTATAATCACCATCATAAAATAATGTCGCCAAGTAATAATGCTGTTCAAATATTTTCATGTCTGCTGTTCATTAATAAATATTTAACTTTTATACATATAAAATATGTCAACTGCTTTTTTTTAATACTTCATTCGTCCAAGAAGTATAGTCTGAGTTACGTTTGACACGGGATTTAAAGAATATTAATAGGGATAAAAAGTACAAGTAAAAGACTTTTTTGTCCTTGTGTGAATATATTAGTGTAAAAAATAATGACAATTGTGTAATAATAATGAAAATGTAATGGTAGATTTATAATGATATGATTATTTATAAAAATGAGACTATTGTTTTGAGACGGACAAAAATGATAAACATGACTATTATATGGGGACGGACGGAGTATAATTTAGGCTCTATTTTGATAAGAAATTTTGATAAGAAATTTTGAGTGTTTTCATAATAGTAAAAGGTTAGAATACTTTTTTTTAAAAAATATAAAAAGAGGCTTTGAATGAGGTATTTTATACTATAAAATATATATTGTTTAATATAATATTTTAAATAAAAATAAGTATTTGAAGTAAAATATTTTTTTTTTAAGATATACTCCCTCCGTCTCTTAACAATTTATCCGTTTTTTTATTTTGGTCCATCTCGTAACAAAATATCCGTTTCATTTTTTAGTAATTGTACTATCTACCTAACATTACAAATATCCTTCTAATTTACAATATATTACACAAATGTCATTACCTTTATATCATACAATACTAATAGGGTTAATTTAGTCTTTTTACATTTATTTCTACTTTATCCTAATATAATACTAATATTCTTAAAATTTCGTGCATAAACAAAATGGATAGATAGATTGGGGACGGAGGAAGTATTATTTATAAGCAGTAACAATATTTCCAAATATGTGTATGTTAATGAGAGCCTTTCGAGATGTTTAGTACTCCATCTGTAGTAAAAAAATTATATAGGTTCATTTTTTATTTTATTTTTTTTTGCATGTTATAAAAAAAATAGATCTATTTTCTTTTTTCTAGTAAAAAGTTACACTACGTTCGGCTGAATCTAAGAATTTCATTTACTTTTTGTAAATTGATATTTGAATATTAATTATTATATCAAAGCGTAATACAAATTAAAAAAAAAAAGTTATACAAATATAATGACATTTTTAATAATACTAAATATAAGTTATACAAATATAAGAGTTTCATTTTTGCAAAGTGTCTTATAATACTAATACCAATACATTTGTACAAAAAATTATACAAATATAAGGATATTTTTAATGTTAAATACAATGATGCAACTACTTTTTATTTTATCAAAACGTAATGATTTTTTTTTCTATTTTTTACTATAAAGAACAAAATAATATACACTACATTTATGTCAAAAGTAAATGTATCAATTTTATTTTTTTTTTACGATGGAGAAAGTATTAATTGTTTTAAATAGAAAATATATATCTAAATGTATCAATTTTTTTTTTTTTTTACGATGGAGAAAGTATTAATTGTTTTAAATAGAAAATATATTAGATATAATGATTTAAATATAAAACTGTAAATGTAATATTTTGAATGTAGTTCAAAATATATTTGCTTTGATTTTTTTATAAGAAAAATAAAATACTATAGTAAACTACATAATATAAAGATACAAATGAAAATTTGTTTGTCCAACTAAATTTTTACTGATACGATCAGCATTTAATACAATGTATCTTTATATTATCAACATAATTTTTTATATCTTACATAAAAAATATATATATATATCTCAAACAAAAATATTAAATAAACATATAATAATTATTATTTTTTTAATTTAGAAATATTTTTGTCATTTTACTCTTAATTTGAATCATATATTAATATAAAATAATTAATATTTAAAGATCTATATGCAACACATTATTGTTACTCTTCTTTTTGGACGAAATGGTTTAAATTTTGAGTTAAAATTTAAATAATAAAAATTTTGAATTAGAATAATAGTATGATGTAATATGAATTGGAGTTGATGTGATATTTTGAATATAAAATTAATTTTCGTATAATATAAAAAATAAAAAATAAGTATTTGATTTGATATTTTTCAAAAGAAAATTAATAAATAATAAAAATCCGACAAACAAACACACCTTTAGTATAGTTTTAGAAAATATTGTTAAAAATAATTCAAAACATAATTATAAAATACACTCAAACAGAGCATAATAATGTACTTCACCATAAACTAACCTTTTCTTTTTGTGTAAATAAAAATAAAAATAAAAATAAATAAACTTTAGGGGAAAAGAGGAAGAAATCAAAATACCACTTTAATTATTTTAGTAACATGCTCCCGATCCGAGAAAGATCAACGCTTCATGCAGCGTCCACGTGTCAGCACGCAATAGGGCAGTTCGACATAGAATAATGCACCGCTTCGTATATATGCACTGCATACGCAGTCTTATTTGCTCCCCATTTCATATTTAATCTCATTATTATTATTATTATCGCATTTCAGTAAAACACGCGTTTCTCTCAACCCTTTTTTTTTTTTTTTTCTCTCTGCCATAATTGCGATTTATCGTCTACAAAGAAGAAAGCGCTTTTCGATCACCGACGACGACGGCGACTGCGATTCCGATGGAAGTTGGTCGGAAAATGGTGCCGGCGGAGGAGCGCGGCCTGAACCTGAAAGCAACGGAGCTTTGCCTCGGCCTGCCGGGCGGCGGCGGCGGCGGCGGCGGAGGAGGAGGAGGGAATACCGATACTGACCCTACGTTCAAAATCACCGGCGGGAAAAGAGGCTTCTCCGAGACCGTTGATCTGAAGCTCAACCTTCAATCCAACGGCTCCGCTCGTTTAGATCTGACGGACGACGTTAAATCATCGTCTAAAGAGACGGCTGAGATTCCTCTAAAGGATCCCGTCAAACCCCCCGCCAAGTAATTATACATACACAGATATATATGTATATACACGATTAAATTTTCAAATTTTGGATATTACCTTGTGTTTCAAATTTTATATTTTTTCACAAAATATCATATCAAATCAATTTTTTTCACAAATATTATATTAAATATTACATTAGTCTGGCTCTAAAGTTTCAATTTATTTTTTGAATATTAATTTTTGGATATTAATTATTATATGAAAACTTAATATAAATGAAAGAAAAATGACAAAAATATTTTTATTAGTATCTTGTAATACTAAAAATATTTTTAATTTTAAGTTGAAACAAAATAGTATATAATCTTTTACCATATTTAAAAACTTTTATTTAAACAAATACTAAATTAAATTATTTATTGAAATTAGGGCACAAGTGGTGGGATGGCCGCCGGTGAGATCGTTCCGGAAGAACATAATGGCTAATCAGAAGAGCGGCGGCGGCGGCGGAAGTGGTGGCGGAGAGGAGGCGGCGGGAGGCGGCGCCGCCACATTTGTGAAGGTGTCGATGGACGGAGCGCCGTACCTCCGTAAAGTGGACTTGAAGATGTACAAAAGCTACCAGGAACTTTCCGATGCGTTGGCCAAAATGTTCAGTTCCTTCACCATAGGTAATTAATTAATTAATAATAATAATAATAATAATCTCTCTGTCTAATACAACAATCTTGTTTACTATTTTTGTCTGTCTCAAAATAATAGTTTTATTTCCATAAATAACTATATCACTATAAAATTACCCATATTTTTTCATTTTTATTGCACAATTGCCACTATTTTTTACTCTAATACACTCACAAGGGTAAAAAAGTTTTTTATCTATATTTTTTACCAACTACCAATATAATATCAATATTCTCGTGTCTAACTCAATTAAGACTATATTTATGGACCGAGTGAGAAATAATAATAATAATAAACGTAATTAATAATTGCAGGTGGGAATTATGGAGGGGAAGGAATGATAGATTTCATGAAGGAGAGGAAAGTGATGGATGTTTTGAACAGTTCTGAATATGTTCCTTCTTATGAGGATAAAGATGGAGACTGGATGCTCGTTGGAGATGTTCCTTGGGAGTACGTATATCTATATATATATATATTTATTTTTATTTTATTGAATTAATAGTATAATTTTATTTAATTTAAGGATGAAATATATATATATATATAATTAAATTAAATTAAATAAATAAATAATTGATATATATGTATTGGTGCAGGATGTTTGTTGAATCATGCAAGCGTCTCCGAATAATGAAGGGATCTGAAGCAATTGGGCTCGGTAATAATTCTATAACTCTTTAATTATTTTTCAAATTATTTTTTTTAATTCATGAAATATAAATTTACATTATATAAAGATATAAATCGATAACTAAATATAAGATTGATGTTAATATAAAATAAATACAATATATAATCGATCTACAAGTCTATATTTTATGTAGCTCACGAGCACTCTAGCTAACCATTTTCTTCTACCGTCAGTTAAATTTATTTTTACTCTTCTTTTTAGTTCGTCTACTAAATTTATTTTATTACTAATTTGGGCAAAGTTAACAAATCAATATTTAATTATTATCCTCTATTCAACACTTATTACAACAAATATCGCTAACTTTATTACATTCTTTCTTCATTTACTTTAATTTTTAATTAAATTTCCGAAAATACTCCCAACTAATTTTTTAGTTTATTATTTTTCAATAAAATATTATCTTTTTAATTTCTGTATCGACCCAAAATGTGCTAATTTTCATGGTCGGAGGAAGTATTTCATTTTACCATTTTTATAAAAATGCATTATTATTATTGTTATTGTTATTATTATTATTATTATTATTATTACTCCCTCCATCCCATAACAAAATATCTATTTTTCTATTTTAGTCCGTTCCATAACAATGTATCCATTTTTTTCATTTTAGTCCGTCCCATAACAAAGTATTTATTTCTTTTTTAGTAACTGTACTGTCTATCTAATATTACAAATACCCTTACAACTTACAATATATTACACAAATGTTAATTAATTTAGTCGTTTATACTTGATTCCTATTATATCCCAACATAATACTAATATTTTTAAAATTTTATGTAAAAAGTAAATGGATACATTTGTTTTTTTTTAGGACTGAGGGAGTATTAGGGTTCTGTTTTGTATTAACATTATTATTTTTATTATTTGGGCATGAAATTCAGCGCCAAGAGCAATGGAGAAATGCAAGAGCAGAAGCTGAAAGAAGGAAGAAATAAATAAATAAAATATATATATATATATATTAAAAGTATAATTAATAATTAATTAATTAACCATGTGAAGAAGAACAGTGGTTTGTTGGTTTGGTTCAGAATTTGGAAGATAATGATGACGATGAAGACGATGAAGATGATGATGATGATGATGTTTCCATGTGCCCCACTATTTGTTTTTCTTTTTTTAATTTTGTAATTTTATATATTTGTTTCTTTTTAATTTTCTGGGTTTCATCTCACGACTTTGTCTGTAATTTTATTATTATTATTATTATTTATTATTATTATTTTAGTATAAAGATATGGACATTATCTTCTGTGTATTGGACAAGAAGTATAAATGCACTCATATGTGTTGTCTGCTTTTATTTTATTATATATTTTTTCCGGTCTCGTTGAAAGGTTATAATTTTTTATTTTCGTCCGTCCCAAAATAAAGTTATTATTTTTTAATTTAGCAATTATATTACCTACTTAATATAATAAATATCCTTCAAACTTATACTATATTACAGAAATGTGATTACTTTTATATTACACAATACTAATAAGGTATTTTCGTCTTTTTCACTATAACTCATTAATATACTAATATTAAAAATCTAGGTGTAAAAAGTAAATAACAACTTGTACGGAACAGAAGGAGGATATATATATTATTAAGGAGTATATATATATTATTATTAATGTTATCTTATTTTTAGAATTACAACTGCTATATTACTAATTTATTTATTTATTATAATTATTGCGTTGTAGTGATTGATATGTAAAATTATATGATATATGTTGGGTTCAATGATAGTATACGTATGATTAATTAGTACATATTGAAGCAATTCATGTATCAACATTTATATTATAAAATTAATTTATATTTTATATACCATATGTCAATATTTAATATTTAAGGTGTTATCAAACATCATATAAACCGCCTTTATATAATATATATATATATATATATATCCAGCTGCAAAAACAGTTGTATTGTATGTACATACTTTTTTTTAAGTACATGATACTTTGGTTGTCATAAAAAAAATATTCTTTTTTTTTTTTAAGTAAAAAATAATTATATTTTTGTATATTTTTTTACTATAAAAAAAGTAACAATTATTATTCACTTTTATTAAAATTTGTATCCCGTCAAATGAGCACACATTTGCATGACGGAAGGAGTAATAATAATAATAATAATAATAATAATAATAATATATGTATATTTGTTTGGTTATTTTATTTGGTGAACAGATTCTTTTAAATCTTGGCCTACATTTTAAAAATTATAAATTTATGTATATATATATATATATATATATAGTCGGGGTGAAGGGGAACATTAGCATGTGCATGTTCATGGGGCTATTATTTTTTGTTATATTTACGTATAAATTTCAAAATTTTGAAAAATTTTAAAAATAATAAAAAATCGATATTTGATATAATATTTTATAGAAATATATATCACAATAAAAAAATAAATATTTACTGTAATATTTTTCAAAACAGAATTAATCCTAACATTTCTTTTCCACGATTTAATTTTGTTTTTGCACTATGTAGTGAATAATAAATGGTTTCTTTTATTAAGAAAGATTGAATACATATATATTTTTTCTAATTATTATATTAGATACTTATTTTATTTAAAATTGCATATTTTAATTAATTAATTTTTTTTTTGGTATTATTCGGAAAATTTTAAAATAACAAATTCTGCATAGTCATAAGGAAGCATTTGTAATATATACATTTATAGTAACAGCACATCACATGCAAAGTGTTCAATGCATGTCCCCATATTATTTATTTAACTTCGTTAATTATATTCTTTTTAATCAACTAATCATTGTATCTATTTATTTATATCGGCCTGAAAATTCGATATTTAATTCCAGCCTAAAATTTTTCATCAGAAGAATTGGGGAATTTTCGAATGTTGAAAATTTTGGGAGAAAATAATGAAATTGTCTTATTAATCGTCAAAATAAGGGTCTGTATATACGTAATACAAAATAGACTCGATAGATTCAAATCTAAGTAATCATCGCATAAGACCAAATCTAAATCTACTAAATCTAAAACGGAATATCTAAAATATCTCAAGACTGAACAATTCGATGCGAATCTCCGATGATATGTCGATATAAAATTAATCCAAAAACAAACAGCAAACGAATAATTAATTGATAATAAAATTATATTATATTACAAAAAGTAAATGACAAAAAAAAATACAAGAAAATATGGGGCTTCCAGCCGCCTTCCCCTACCCTATTTTATTACTTTTTTTAATATATATAATATAATATAATTTTTTTTAATGAAAAATTATATACTTTTTTAAAATATAAAAATAAATAATTATAATATATAGCTATTGATATTGTTTTGTCGTTATTTTGTATCATTTAAAATATGACAATTACAAGAATAAAATTATTGAAAAATAAATAGATATGTTCTTTTTATGTGTAAAAATATATTGTATTATATTCTAATTTTGAAAAATTAGCTCCCCATTTTTATATGTGTAAGCAATGTTTCGTTTGATTTCTTTTTATACTTATGTAGATTAATTGTTTCCAGTAAATATATATATATAATTAATTTATCATATAATTGACAAAAATAGATATGATTTGAAAACCCTTCTCAAAAGATTTCTCACTATTATTAAAATGCATTCTTTAATGTGTAAAATATTGAAAATTCAATCCACAAAACATATGAATGTGTATTACCAACCATGTGTTGAATTGGGCCAAATGATTTTTTGTAGGCCCATTGGGCCGAATCATTATAATGGTTGGGCTCCTTTGATAGGGTTCTTATAATTGGGCTATGTATGATTTTGGCACTGGACCGGAAATAATGTGACAGACCGTCTAGCCGGTCTAGCTTACTTCATCCCGGTCCAGAATGTACCCGGCCGAAATCATTTCGCCTATAGGTACCAATTTGGGTGTACAATTTTTATTTTTTATTTTAAAATAATTTTAAGTTTTATTCAAATGATTTGGGTGGAAATAAAACTCACAATCATATCTAGATAAGATAGAAGATTTGCCACTAAGTCGCATATTAACTTTTGTTATTATTTTATTAATTAATAAATATAAACATATTAAATTTTAATTTTAATAAATCGGCCCAGATTGAACACAATTTAAATTTTTATTTTTTTTTAAAAAACCCCGAGCACGATTTTTTCGGAATCGAATTCGAATCTAATTTTTGAATCGTACTTATTTTTACCGTTCGAATTTTCACTATCATCAATAGTATTTTAATATATATATATATATCATATCAAATATCTATTACTCTCTTGATCGCAATTTTAGTGGGCTTTTAAGGTGCTTTTGATACATATAATAGAATTCTAGATAAATTATAGAAAAATAAATTTAACAGAAAATGAGTTGATAATTTTATTTGATAAAATATAAAATTTAGTAAAATAAAAATTCATTTGAGAAATATATATAAAAAAGTAAATAAAATGATATATATAAAAAGGGAAAGGTATATTGCTAGTAGAAAAAATAAATTAAATTGATCACTAGAAAATAATAAATAGAATAAGAGAAAGTGTGTAAAATAGTTAATTAATAATAATATTTTAGTTAGTAAAAATAAAATAGTTTGACAATTTTTTTCTTTTGTACTTTACATATAAATTAATTATATACTTTTCAACTAATTTGTCCACTTTAATTGGAGTACAAAATTTTAAGTACGATGTATTTAGTAAATAATTAAGAAGTGTATTAATAAAAAAAATTATGATATAATAAAATAATTATAAATTAAGATTAAGATTACTAAATAGTTTAATTAAAATAACATAAATTTTAAAATGTGATTTAAGTATATAATTAGATTTCCAAAAAAATTACGTAGGACGACCCAAAATAGAAAAAGTAAAAAATACGTACACCAATTAAGTGAGACGGACGGAATATATAATACTCCATCCGTCCCACCTACCATGTCCACATTGTCGTTTCTGTCCGTCCCACATCTTATGTTACTTTTTTTTTTCTTTTTAAATGATTACACACCTCAATTTCATTTTAAATTTCTTAGTTTAATATTTTTTAATTATAATTAAATTAATTAGTTATCTTAATCTTAATTTATAATTATTTATATTATAGGATAATTATTTTTACTAATACATACATACTTAATTATCTACTAATTATACTTATCCTAAATTCTCGTGTCTACAGTAACGCGGACTTCCAATGTGGGACGGAGGGAGTAATATATTTGTAATTTATGTAAAAATTAAATAATATTTTAGTATTAATGTCAAATTACTTTTACTATAAGAAAGAGATATTATATTTTATAATCGACGGACAAAAATGATAAAAAAAAAATATGTGAATAAATACTCCCTAAGTTAATTTTGGCATATAGATCATTGTGCTTTAATTATTCCTGCAGCAAGTCTTTCCATTTCGGGTGTGTTTGTTTGAGGGTTTGAATTTTGAGTTGGAATTTGAATAGTAAAAATTTTGAATTTGAATAGTTATATGATGTGATATAAATATGTGTTAGATGTAATATTTTGAATGTAAAATTGATTTTGGTATAATATAAAAAATGAAAAATAAGTGTTTGATTTGATATTTTTTGGGGGGAAAAAATAGGATAAATAATGTATTTAAAATCCAATTCTCAAAACAAACACACATGTATTCTGAGGTTGTAGAAAGGCTGATACTGCAACCTTGCTGCAGTATGAAATATGGGCTTGACATTATTCAAATTGCCCACTTTTATGTAATGGCTTACAAAAGACAAATGCATAATTTAGGAAATGTCAAATTTTTTCAAATGTATGAAAGCTCACACCATCTCATTTCATGCAAAGGGAAATTAATAAGGGGTTTGTTTATTCCAAGGTTGCATGGAACAAAAAAGTTGGTTGTGAGTAATCTTGAGATTTTGTTTTAGAGAAAAGATTGTTGAGTGAAGCTCTCACCACTTATCCATATTGATTCTTCATATTCTCAATGAGTGTTCGTTCTACATTGAAATCCACCAGAGAGGTCGAAGGTGATAGGAGATAAAGAAGTTCCAACCAGAGATGATGATCAGGCTCTGAGCTGCTCTATTATATGGTGGTTGTCAATATGAGTTCGTGGCAACTTAAACCTGATGAGGTATTTTCCTAGGTTAACCATGGTATGAGTATGGGTAGAAGGAGTTGTGATTATTTATGTTCTATAATCAGTATTGATTAGTGGAATCTCTCTTGGATTGGTATCCCCGGATGTAGGTTGATTCATAACCGAACCGGGTCAACAAATACTTTATCTCATTTGGTGTTTTGAGTTTTGCATTTTAT